AATGCCTCCACGCAATGCCGCCGGCTGTGACTACGGATGACTGTAGACAGCCCAGAACAGGGGGCTGTGTGATAGATAGTGACGCTTCACGTTACTTGTTGCTTGGTACAGTCAAGGTCCACCCAGATGAGTTACACTTTTGAAACAAGTCTATCTGATGGGAATTTCGTATTTAGTTTGTTTATTTTTTGCAATACGAAGTCCTTAGTCCCGAACGGTGTACCTTCACTCGTGGCTATTGCCAGCCACAAGAAACAGCATGCACTTTGTTGTTTCTCTCCTTTCTAACAAATCAGAAACTGTGAAAAGCATCATTAGGAAGTGTTTAGCCCACATTCTAGGCTATTTGTTATACGGAGCACCCACGATTTTACTGCAAAGAACATTTTCTTTTGGGCAATCAAGCAGTCCGGAAACGGCAAATGCCAGTAAATGATAATTTTCCAAAAGCGAGTGAAGGATATTTCTGGAAAAATCTTATTTATCCTTTCCCTATGCTTCCATAGCCCTTGCGATACCGCAAGCTACTAATGATAGCTTATTTCGAAAGTCATAGATCGTGAGCAGGTACGAAACTACCAAAAATGCATTTATTTCAAAGAAATTTCTAAAAATTTTGGATAGCAGCTGCTGTGAAGTTAAAAACCAGAAAATCTCATAAACAACAAATTCCAGTCCTCTCGAAGTTCGCCAGAAACAATTCTCACAGCTGGAAACGTATCGCATGGGAATACGGCGAGAATCGCCGTATATTCAAATCATGGATTCGCACGCTGGCCTACGACCTATGCGATAATGTGCCCGCGATCGATATTTCCTGACAGCCACGAAACGCATAATAATGAACAACGCTATGTTGTGTTCATCACAATAAAATGTAGCAGGTGCGAAGGTGAAGATTCAAAAGTTCTTTGAACGCTCCTAAGCAGGAAGTAGGAATGAGATGAGATGTAAGCTTATAAACACTGTCAAAGCATTATAGGTTATCGCGATTTGAGCTTTTGAAAGAACAGGAGGACATTTTCCTTTACATAACAAGATTTTTATAAGAAATCAATCGAACACATCCACTGCTTAAAATACTGAATTTACTAAATCTTAACAGAACTTCGAGCACAATTTTTTGAAAAGTAAGCGCAAAGCATCAATTAGCGGAAGAAAAACAACGCGAAAAGAATGAACCGATCACGAGATGAACTCACTGCGACACATTAAACGCGTTGGCGACTGCATTCAACAACAAAGGTCGCCAGCACCAGTTGTCAGCGCCGGGGCACGCGATCGAATAGCGATATCGCGCACGATCGATACAATAATCGCGTCGCACACGGGGTAATCGTACAACGCGAAGTGAAGTGCAATGACGTTTGCTGCATAGCGACGAGTCAAGAGCCATAGCTGACATCTCGCTAGAGGAAACCCTGATGGCTTGTCTTGCAAATCGCGGCGATTGCATGGAAAAAACAAACAGTAACCCTATCGTGGTTCATTATGTAGTTCTGAGCTTGGTTATATCCCCTCACGCGCATATTCCTTGGTAGAGAACGTTTTTTTTTGCATTCAAGAAGCTTATAGATATTTCATGATTAACTTTTTTGGTATTAGAGCTCATCACTAAAGAAACTCTACTAATTTTGTGCCATTAGTATTATAGTATTTGAAGAAGACGTACGCCAAATGGTACATACCTTAAAATTTTACGTCAGAAATACAGAAAGTGATTCTATTGTTCATTCGTTATCTTATCTACTTGTACATTTTCTTAACAGAATGATTGCTTTGTCTCCATTTTTGTTGTACTTAATTGACTTCCATATGAGTCAAACGCAGAATGATCTTGTGAACTAGCGTTTGAGCGAAAAAAAAGAGTCTACTCATTACACCACATCTGAGTCTGTTAACTACGTAACTACGTGCACAA